GGGGGGGGGGGGGTTAAAACATTCTTGCCTCCCTCTTCTTAAATATCTGGATATCTGTCATCGGGTACGGGCTAATTTTCATCTTTGAGACGCCTTAAGTATCCCTTAGTCTTGATAAAGCTGTGCTCTCGATAGATCAATTAAGTAAAAAAAAAAGACAAACGGAGAGAGAAAAGTTACCATAGTTACACACGCTCCGTGCTGCCTTTCCATCTTAATACGCATGCGCAAAATAATCGTCCCCAGGTGTTTTGCCATTAGCGGGTTTAATAGTCTCCCGTTTGACAGAATACCATTTAAAGAAAATGAAGTGGGCTGACGAAGGGGCAGAGCCTTTGACATTTCAACACAGCCTTCTTAAGAATCCCCTTTAAATGTTCTCTAAAGTATATGCGGTGATTAATTGTGACTCGGAATTAAAACGGTGTTTTCTCTGGTTTTACAAGCAGTCAGAACAAGGTTCCACATGCACCTGCGGTACTTGAACTTTAATTGCCTTATTTCATTTGTAACGACCATTAAAAGAACAGAGGAATATAACAATGGAGAAAATACATAAAGATTTCAACATTAGAATGCCGTAGCTTTCATCGTTGGGATTAATTACGCATGCGCCGTGCGTGCTAGAGACATCTCGTCTGTGCCGAATTTGCATTCTGAGGATAATTTGGTTTGGTAGTATTTCAATCCATTTAGGGTCTGAAAAAAATGAGGATTTTTTGCTTTAATGTTGATAAAGAATTATGCTGTTTCTTGTAGCCTAGTGAGTATGAGAAAGAAAAGATGAATGTGGGGGCCCGTCGTTAATATTTATTATCATTAACTTGTATTCCTGAGAACAAATTTCAAAGAAGAAAAAAAAAAAAGAGCATGAGGAAATTTAATGCGTGCTTTTATTACGGTAAATGTGGATAATCTGGAGTTGATTGAGAAGCTGGAAACTGGAATAAAACTTCAGTCGAAGGGGTAGAATCATTGCAGTGTTAATAAATATGTTTTTTCGATCGTTTTATTGATTTGTCTCCTTTAAGTACAATATATTTCTCCTCATTCATCATTTCAAAATATCGGGAAAGAACTTGTAAAATATATGTATTATCAGTAAAGTATATTTAATTTCTGTAAGTTTAAGGGGATCGACAGTCAAAAGGTCCAATATGAACTTTACTCTACTTATGTACTCTAAATATGTACTCTACTTGTATCTCAACACGGCTGTGTAGGGGCGGACCACACGAAACATTGTCAAATAGAAAGCGGTAGCAAGTGGAATTCAAATTCTTATCAGTACTGCGAATCGACATATCACTTTCCAAACACGTGTTTTTAACAGGGTTATCTGATGGAAAGGGTAAAACGGGGAAAAAAGCCCTGTTATTGAGAGATGATTTTTCACACCGCGTTATTGTTAACATGTGTCTGTTCGCTTTTCTGCGGTATTGTTTTTATTAGCGTTTATTGAAAAAAGCGAGAAAATGCATACCAAGTCATAAACACTGTTAGTGTATAGAAAAACCACAGTTAATATTTTTTGGTAAGCGTGTACACACTTTTATCAGTTTATATAGTAAAAGATATCTACTGGCTTACAATAGTATAGCGTTCTTGTTGCATGTATTTAATGAGATATCTAAATAGTTCTTGTATTTTATCTTAATACTGCAGGTATATTGCATCTTGTCAAGGTGAAAACGATTTTTCATAGTACGGCTTTGCTTAAAATTTCATTTTCACTCGATGTGAAAATGTTAAGATGTCATTAATTCGTTTAATTTATTAAGTCTAATGTAGAGGAAAACCTTGAGAGCATTTATCTCTTGCGTACTGTTGAACACGCAAATCAGTTACTCTTTGGTTTTACATGTGTTGTAAGTACATTGTACATTAAGTAGGCATGTCAAGCCGGGCCCGGGGCATTTTTTTTTATTAATATTATTTATTTATTTATTTACTTTTGTCACGACATTATCCGTTAAACACTAACGTCTTTTACCTAAAAATACAAATTATAAAATGTTAGCAAAATAGCCCCATTATCCACTTTTAGCAACTACATTCACTCCCAGTTCTTACTACGGGTATAAAGTGAAAACGCGAAGCACACCGGCCCAGCTGGAGACTCCATTTATACGAGAGCTCCGCTGCCGTAAATCATGTCTGCTTGCTCACGACACTGATGGAGAGCGACATACCCACCACGGTATTTCGGACACAGTAACGACACTAAATCTTGCTCGAAGGTGGGAGCCTTTTGAAACGGTTAGATAAGTCATAAATAACTGCTAACCAAAGTAAGCTGTGTTTATTTTTTTCTTGACGCACAATTTAAACGGAGAGAGATAGAAACTATAGGAAGGTGAATTTTGGTTTGTTGCAATTGCAGGTCTTAAGCTTTTAGGTTGTAAAAAGGTGGGGAAAATTTAAGGAAAACATCTCGGTTGTGGAATGAATAAAAAGAAAGCCAATGGAAGAGGGCAAAGAGACATAAGAAAAAAAGAATCAATAAACACTAAGTCTGTGTTCTAGATAAAATATTAGTTAAAAACTAAGTCTGTCACATAGAGACAATAGTAGCTGAATTTTTTAATTGTATTTCTGCATAATTCATAATTCTAAACCCTACAATATCTAAAAAGGACATAAAAAATTTAAGAAAAAGTTTGGACTTCGAGAACGAAAAAAGCGGCTTTTTTTTTTCTTTTGTGTATTTTAATGCCTTTGATATCCCTGCATAAGGCTGTCATTATCAATAAACCTGTATCACATATGTGGTTTTTATTCAAAATTACGATGGAAGAAACTGCAATTTAATTTGAACCGAACGGAAGAAACACGTGTTGTGGCTATTTTTTCTACTTTTTATATTCCATTTTCAGTTATTCTTTATGTATTTCTTTCAAAATAATACCCTTTTTTTCTTCGAAAAAACAGACTTCAAAACGGAACACGAGCCTGCGTGGATAGTATTTATATTTCAAAGTTTTTCCAGGGGCGTGAAAAGGACGTCATTTTTCTTATCCACCGGACATGTTATAACGATAAACGCCTTAGGTTGAAACGCATTTCATAAGACACGCGCATCGCGTTATTCAAACCCCGGCCACTTGTAAAATCATACGCGGCCCCGGAGCGAGCATTCCGTTAACCCATTCGTTAGCGTTTATGATTCTGATCATATGCGACGCGCAGCTTTGGTTGTAAATGCTACCGGGCCATTGCGGCTGTGAAAGCTGTCGTTTTCAAGTGTTTTCATCGCAGCTTTTTGCTACTTTCTACACGTGGCGGCAATTTAGAACGCTCGTCTTTGGGACTTCGCGCGAACAACTGTGCTCTCTCTTGACCATATACTGCAGGTCTCAGACGATTGATACAGATATATGAAAAAAAAACGTTTGTGTCTATTATGAATTTTGTGATATCCGTGGTTTCTGAAATTTGAATAAGACAAGTAGTTTATAATTATTTGATGTATAAAATGGTTTATTGATTCCGTGTGAGTGACATAAAATGTTCCATGTTTTAGCAAGATGCCTAATTTCATAAATTTTAGTTGAAAAAAATGCAATTTTACAATCGCTAATCCCGACATTTCAACTGCAGAGCGTGAAATAGTAAAACAGAAAAAAAAATGATAATGAAGCAAGGGAATCCAATGATTTGTCGGATACACCTAAAAAACAGCTACACGCCAATTAGGCAGAGCACGAGACAAATATGCGTGACAATCAAAGGCAGTCATTGTCTTAATTGTGAAACACTTTTACATGTAATTTGTTTAAAACAACGAGTCTTTTGTCTAGTCACTTGCGTATGTTAAGCTTTATTCGAGAATGTTTCATTGATAAATACACTGTAATTTGAAGTTGAGGAAAATCAAAAGTAATCACCAGTTTCTTCTTAATTTACTAGCAATCTCTCTTTTGAATGAATCGCATGTTAAAGTTGCATAAAGGGTGTCATCATATATTTCATACACTGGGATTACCTTTTATACACTACATCATATTAAAATGAATCATTCATGTCGGACCTGCGGTTAGCTGATCTTTCTCGGCTCTCAGCGGTAGGGGCAGGCGATGAATGCTTGAGGAACTCTAACGAGACATAAATAGTGTAAATGTACGGCTCAATTACGCGAGAAGAGACAAAGTACGGTGTTCTTTATTACGGCGATATTTAGTAAATCAGGAACCGTGGGCTGTCGTTATAAACTGCAACAACAGCTGTTGTGGGTTCAGAGTTTTTACCAGACGCTCTGTGCTCTGGTTTCCACCAAGGTGAGAACATCAAATTGCAGGTAAATTTGATTTTGTAGACTTTGAAAGTTGATACTTTAATTTTGAAGTCGTTTGTTTTTTTGCCATTCATTTATTTCGCTTTCAAAATCGCATAATTCATTGACTGTTACTAAGTAGTGGCGTTATTTTATTTAAAAAAGTCAAGCTTGAAACCTAATTTAGTCGTGAAGGAAGTTTATTGTTACTTGTGCATAAAAATTGCTTTAAGAAGGAGAAATTCCTTTTCATTCATTAATTCATTTTGATTGGAGTAGTGTGAAGATGTCAGGTTACATTGTTTTGTGCACGTTTTTCCAAAATGCTTTTGAGTTTCCTGATTAGTCATACGACAATAACCTTATTGTTTTAATAAGAGATTTGAAATATGTTGTTTTTTATTTGACTTTACTGTTGAGATATTGTTATAATGTTCAACTGTGTATCTTCTGAAGATTAGAGAAAAATACTATTTATTCTAGGTACAATAAAATGATTTATTTACCAGTTTCTTTGTTTTGTTTGTTCCTTATTTTCATTTCATTTTAAATGTTTTGATCAATACGTGCTCAACTATATGTATTAAGACTATTACTGATAATAAATTTGTTTTTGTTCTGATGTTTACCACGTATGTGTCAACCGTGTGAACAAACTGGAAGTAGTTCAAATACAGGTGTACGAAATAGACATAAGCGTAAAAACAATATATAGTATATAAAAGCATTCTACTGTGTATGAATGCCAGGATAGGCGCAGCGGGTCTTATGACATAATGACTACTTCTACAGACTATACGGCTACAGAATTGTCATATAATTGAAACCCATAGTGATTGATAAAGAATATTGGTTTTGATCACTATATTGCTGAATTTCAGTGGCAATGATTATCACTTGAAGTCTGCTAGGTGTGGACTAAAGATGAACTTGAGGCACTAGAAAATATGAAACTTAAGGCACTAGAAAATATGAAACTTGAGGCACTAGAAAATATGAAACTTAAGGCACTAGAAAATATGAAACTTGAGGTACTAGAAAATATGAAACTGGAGCCACTAGAAAATATGAAACTTAAGGCACTAGGAAATTTGAAAGTTGTTGCAGCTTTTAGTCTTGGTTCCACTTTATGATTATTGGGTGCATTTGGCTTTATTTGGTTTGGTTACTTTCGTTCAGTGGCATTTTATTGTTTCTTCTGAATTCTATGTTAATTCTGAAATGTTTTCCAAATAAATGCAAGTGAGACGAAATTCATGTTACAAGAATTTCTCATTTTTCTTTCAGGTTTTAACTTCAAAAACACGGACTTACAACGGAATATACCAAATTAAGAGATGGCTACAGCAGAAATCACCCATAAGGGAGTGCCACCTGTCCTCCTGCACCCACGCTCAGTTTTACCTGCACCCATCCCCGTGTACCCAACAACCCTGGGTGGGCAGCAGGCCAGACCGCCCGTTCCACGCCCCGGTTGTCCGTTCCCTAATTTCGCTGCCTCCATCAATAGCGTCACGTTCAGCACGTGGACCACACATCCACTGGAGTGCGTGCTGTCCAACCAGTTCCTCCCAGGCCATTTCCCGCTGACCAGCGCAGTGACCGCGGTCAGTCAAGGACAAGAGGGAAGAAGTGGACCTGCGGCCCACGTCTTGGAGAGGCGTTTCACGAAAGGTAAGAAAGTTTTTCACACGTTTTGTACGGTCCTCTTAGCCGTTTGTTTACTCTTACGCTGTATTGATATAAGTTGGTGACGCTGACAAGCGCAATTTCAGTGCATTTCACTTAAAACACAACACCCCTTATCATTATCTTCATGAATTGGAAATCTATTATATACATTGCTCTTTTATCCGTTATTGTTCATAGAATTGCGCTGCTCCTTTGCGTTGTCCACGTTTGTGGGTTGAATGTTGTAAAAAAAAGCACTACCAAAAGCCCAGTATCTAAACCTAAATAGGTTTCAGCCGTTGCAGGCTATACCCTGTGGTTTCTACGCTTTCATATTTTAATTCCTGAACAAAGTTTTCACACTAAAGACAAGTATAGGAAGTGGCACTTAGTCCCAGACCTGGTGAGCATGCAATGATCGCGCAGTTCAAATACCTCGGCTGTAATTGTACAACTGTGTCGCGACTTCTGGAAACATTTCAGCTGTGTTGGCACTATTCTATTTAACTTCTGGGTTGAATATAGCGTATATGAGTAAGCATGTGTTTTTTGTACGTGTGTGAGTGTGTGTTTTTGCGTGTGCGTGTGTTTTTGAGAGCATAATATGTGTTCAAGTGTGTATTCCGCTTTTCATATTATTGCCTATTGTAACTTGTTGAAGTGGTCAGAAAAATCACAATGATAAGTGTTTAAACTAATTTTCAAATTAAAAAAAAACTGATTAAAATATAGTGAATGATGTTATAACAAAGAAGCTATATCTTCATTTTTTTTCTTTTTGAGGAAACCCCCACATAACTGATCTAGACAATTGTAAACAAATTAAACTTCCACATTTGTCATGACATTTGATTACGTTTCGGGGTGCTTTCTCCAAATTGAAATAAATGATGTGGAAAATTATCTCGGAATTATCTTGGAGATTTTTTGAAAAGGGGAGGTTTATGTAGACCCACACATAGGATGGAAATATTCTGTGAAAAATGGTTCAACTTAAAAACCTATTTTCTGTAGTATGAAAAAAGTATATGTTCCAAAACACGTGTTTCAGAAAACAAATTTACTTAAATTAGCGTTGAATATTAGCGTTTTATCATATCATCTTGTACTCGATACATCAAAATCAGTTTTTGCTGTGGTCTTACGTGGACCACATAAACTGAGATATTTCAAAAATGCGGAAAAGATAGAAATCAATTAAACACCCTTTTCCTGTTTTTGTGGTTAAAGTTCTTTTAATTTCAAGGTACTTTAGAACATCTGCACGTAAGTTTTTTGTCTCGATTTTTTTTTTTTTTCGAAACACTCCGGCACGTTTTTCTGGTTTGTACTTATCAATGAGAAGATCGATTCAGTTAATGTCCCCTTTTATGGTTTCAGTGTAACGTATGTACATACTAATATACACGTATATATATCAAAAAGCCGTCTCTGCTTCGACAGCCTGTCTCTCAATCTCAAACGATTCTTGCGTTTCGGTATTGTCCACTCATTCATACGTGTATATTTATTCATTTCATGACAACTCAGATACCTTACCCAATCAACGGACACGTAATTAATATCATACATCTATTACCGTGTAAGGGGGGGGGATAAATTCAAGGTGGAGATTTAGCACAAAGAATCTACTAGTAAAAACGGTCCCCTAAAGCTTTCATTGCTACCTAGAGTCTACAACAATGTATGCAGTCACTCTGTCCTCTGTCAGCGAACCGTTATCCTCTACCAGGGCCGCAGTTATTATTGTGGACATTTTTGGCTGTCTATTTATCTAGAGACATATCTATGAATATCTGTGAAAAATCAAACTGTCGCCCTGGTAGAGGGTAACGAAGCGTCAGCTTGGAACGACTTCGCGTTCCTGTATCTGTGTGTGATTTACGCCAGGACACTCCGTTTGAGTGCTTGGTCAACCCCGGGTGTTCTAAACGTGTTGGTTTGCGGTTAGATAGCTTCATTGTTGACCGCAATGGCATCTCGCTTTTTAATGCAAGGGGGGGGGGGAGATAATCAATATTTCTATCTTTCTGTTTTATGTACTGTCATTCATTTTCGTGTGAGTTGTAAAATTAGATATATATATATATATATGCTTTGTTCTCCCTAACTATTCAAATGTCAGTGCAATGTATTGAACGAGTTTTACCTGTACTTTCGTAAAGTTGCCCTAAACGTTTGGTGGCGTAGATACTTGCTTCCAATCATTTGACTCAGTTGATCAGACTATTCCATATTTCTCTATGGATTTCTATATACACCTAAATGCACACCCCTTAATGTATACCTAAATAGTCGCCTTTATGTGGATTTATTAATTTTTTTTAGAAATTCAAGACAAGCCTCGACCAAAGTTTGACTTCGCGCATCTTGCCGAGGCTGCAACCCAAGAATACGACAAAATCAAGAATGATGACAGCGAGAGTGAAAGTGAAACTGACCGAAACCAAGATGCGAAGATTATCAGTCATGCTATGTCACAGTTCTTCACTGGGTATAGGTAAGTTATTTTTTATGCAAAAGGGAAATAGGACGTGCATTTGGAGAGAGAGAGAGAGAGAGAGCATTGAAGAAAGAAGAAAGACCGTATCCTCAGGTTAAGTGATCGACCAAAAACCCACAAAAATTGTATGACTTTAATGACTCAGAAACGGAGGTGCGGAGGTGCAAATTTTCCACTGAATAAAAAACGATTCACAGAAAACGATACATAAACGTTCCCGAAGGAAATAAGTGGTAGCTACAGTCAAATTCAAGAATGTGAACCCCGGTACCAAGTTGGTCTCTTTGTTGTGAGTTTGCATTGACAGTGGGCCAGGTTGTATGCGCCGGCACACGCTTCTTGCTTCCATTCGGCAGCCACATTGTAATTGGCAACATGACGTCTCAAACGATCGCTTCATTATCGGAACTTACTCAGCCAGCGCCGTCAGCTGGAGTGCACGTGGGGAAAGTCTCAGCTGACAGAGCTTCTGTAGGGTTTGCCTTGGTTTATGTGTTCAGTGTGTTCAGTAAAGACAGAGGTGTATTTACACTGTAGGTATAGGGCGCCGTAACCTGGGCGTTTCTTAAAGGGGGTGCCACTGCGAGATTGGTTATTAATTATTTATTGCATTGAAAGCATGGGAATCTTATTTCCGATTTTCGTGAAATTGTCATTGTCAGAACGTCAGAATTGTTAAATGTTTAGATTTATGAAGTTAACTGGCATCTTTGTGCTGATTTTATGATGAAGTTACTATCCAAAGATCCATGTCGTATAATTTGGCAGGGGCGCAATTTCATTCATTACTTCATATACTATGATCAATAGATACGCTTGTCCCTGTGTTGGGTTAGGGTGCGCAGTTTGTTTCATTCGGGTCTAAGATGGTCTCTGCTAATGACCATGGAATAAGAACTCAAAAACCTTCCCAGTTGCAAGCCCAGTTATACAGGACCTCATGGGACAACCCAGTTACAACCCATATGGAACCCACTAAAACCCCCAGCTGCGAGGCAGTCGGTGACCCACAATGAACCCATAAGAGCCCCGTCTGGGCGTGCTGATGTGGTAGCGACTGAATTGTAGCAACTTTATGACAGGTTTTGGTTACCAAATTTACATAAAATTCAAATGGGGAAGATTGTTGAATTAACCAAGTGTAAGGGCATGAAGTGTGTGTCCAACGAGTGAGATGGGGGTTATTCTGAAAATATTTGCTTTCCCATTAACAAAATATGTAGTTTTTTTTTTTTTTTTCTTTTTTTTTTTTTTTTTTTTTTTTTTTTTTTTTGGTGGTTTTTTTTTGAAATTTTAAAAATTTTGGTCTTTTTTTTTTTTTTTTTTTTTTGGGGATCCCTTTGATTTTTTCAAAAACCTCTTTTTAAAGT